GCACAGAAGCTGAGCCAGGGGGCGGCGTGCAGAGGGGCCCCATGCCTCAAGTCTGCAGGTAAAATGGGACACGTCTTCCTGGAGGTCAGGAGCCAGGCAAGGACTCCCGTCCCACCACCTGCACTCAACATGGCACTGGAGGTCCTAGCCAGTGCAATAAGACAAGAAAAAGAAATGGAAGGCAAAGAGATTGGACACAATGGGGGAAAAGACATTTTGCCTCTTTGCAGAGAATGTGCTCGTGTGTATAAAAGTCCTAAGAAATCGAAAAAATGGCTATGGGAACTAGTAACTTTATTATCAAGGTCACAAGATGCAAGGCCAATATTTTAAAAAGTAAACACTGGAATTTGAAGTATAAGGGAAACAAGAACATATTAGCATCAAAAAACAGGAAATGCTTAGGGGAAATTTAACAAAATACCCACAAGGCCAGCAAAAACGCTGCCAAGAGAAGTGAAAGAAGACCTAGTAACTGGAAAGGAATGGCATGTGGATAAACCAGAAGACTGAGTAGGAGGAAAACACTCATTCTCCCCCAAATGGACCAATGCAATCTCAGTCAACATTCCAGGAGGCTTGGTCATCTAGAAACTGATTCTAAACATGTATATGAAAAAAGGACATTTACCAGCCAAAATAATAGTGAAAAGGAAAAGAAAAGTTGGGATATTTTCATTTCCTGACTTAAAGACTTACTGTAGAGCTTCAGCCATTGAGAGACAGTGGGGCGGGCATGAGGAGTGCCAATAGGTCAATGAAACAGGAGCGGCCAGAGAGACCCATTCACGGATGATGCAAACGTTTCTGACAGAGGTGTCGAGGGAATGCAACATGAAGAAGATAGTCTTTTTGGCAAACAAGTTCTACAATACTGAATAAATGACAGCGGACAATGGCCTTAATCTTTACCTACATGACAGAAAAAAGTTAGCTTGAAACGGACGATGGGCCTGAATGTAAAGCTCAAACTATAAACCTTCCTGGGAAAAACACTGAGAAAATATCTGTGATTTGGACGTGGACAAAGATTTCTTGAACAGGACACGGAACACAAGAGCCACGAGAGAAAATGAAATTGGGACTCATCGACACTGGCGACTCCTGCTCTTGGAAGTTTGTTTTTCAGGAAACGAAAAGGCAAACCGCGCACTGGGTGGCAATTCTCACAACACTTCTTAGAAAATTCTTACAAGTCAACACGAGGACAAACAGCACTATTGTTTTTTAATGGGCAGGATTTGAACCTCACCAAATCCACACCCCCATGGCCACGAAAGTGTGGTCAGCATCCACAGTCATTTGGGAAACGGCGTGAAAACCACCGTGAGATTCCACTCCACGCCCGTCACGGTGATGGAGAGGAAACGCTCTGACCACACCAAGTGTGGGAAGGACACGGAATAATTCGAGCTCCCACGTGCTGCTGGCGGGAGCCTAAAATGGTACAACTTTGGACACCGGTTTGGCCAATTCTTTTAGAGAGAAACACACACCTTCCCTAGGGCCCGGCAACTCCACTCCTAGTAACCAAGTGAAATGAAAGGATTTGTCCTCAGCAAAACGTGTGTGCGGAAGTTCACACTCACTTTCTCTGTGACAACCAAGAGCTGGAAACCACTGCCACGCCCACCAGCCGGTGAACAGATTAACCCACTGGGCTAGAGCCACACAATGAGATGCTACTTGGCAACCGTGGACACACACTGCATGGCGGACGAATGTGCAGACATGAGGCCACGTGAGGGGAGCCAGGCCCCGAGGCGCCACACTTTGTGCTTCAGGTGAAATTCTGGGACAGACAGATCTAATCTGCTGGGAGAGAGAGGTCAAGGAAGATGGGGCCAGGGCTGGGGAGGGGTTGGGAAGGGGTTCATGGTGCTGGGGTATCAAAACAAAGCAAAGGACCACAGACTTGGAGGTCCAAGAGATGGAAGCACGATGTTCTCATAGTTCTGGGGGCTGGAAGTCCAAATGCAGGGGCTGGTGGGCTTGGTTCCCTCCTGGGCCTGAGACGGTACCTGCTCCCTATGTCCTCACAGCTTCGTCCCTCTGTCCCCAGGACCCTGCTGCCTCCTCCTCTTCCTGGCCTCCGGGAGTGCTTGTGTCTGAAGAACGCTGGGCAGGTGTCCCCAGAGGGCTGCTGGAGGGACTCCGAAGCCACTTTCACTTTCTCCCTCCTCCACGTCTGCATTGTTTGTGTTTGCATCTGCCTGTGTGGCTTTTGCACCAGAAGTGGGATGGAGAGACGTGTGAACCACCATTGCTGGGGGAAGGCTGGCCCCAGGGAACCCATGGCTTTCCCAGAAGGGAGCCCTGCCATTGGAAAGCTGGCTTCAGGCTGCTGCACAGGCCCCTCTCCGCCCTCAGCCCTGGCCTGCGGGAATCGGGAAAGGGTGGGGTCCAGCTGCATTACAAAGGGACTAAAGCCACTGATTTGCACACTTGCCAGTGGCTGAAATGGTCAATAAAACGTCATGTACCTTTCACCACAGAGAAGAAAGCCCGCAGCCAAAGGAGTGCAAAGGAGCGCTCAGAGGAGGTTCGGGTTGCCTGGACGAACCCTGCGTATCCTCACGACACGGGGCGTCCGCTGTCTGCGCGGACGGTTTCCAGATGAAGGCCCTGGCGGGAGGGACGGGGCCCTTGGCACCACGGGTCCTTGCCACAGCTGCGTCACATGCTCTGTGCGTTATCTCCACCATGAAAAATCACCTAGGCCGGGCATGGTGGTGCATGCCATGTAATCCCAGCACTGTTGGGAGGCGGAGGTGGGCAGATCACCTGAGATCATGGAGTTTGAAACCATTGCCTGATAACCATGGTGAAACCCCGTCTCTAGGAAATACGAAAAATTAACTGGGCCATGGTGTTGCGGTGCCTTGTAATCCCAGCTTCGGATACTCGGGAGCTACTCGGGAGGGCTGAGCAGAGGAATCGCTTGGAACCTGGAGAATCGCTTGAACCTGGGAGGCTACTCGGGAGCTGAGGCAGGAGAATCGCTTGAAGCCTGGGAGGCAGAGGTTGCAGTCCACAGCGTTTGCAAGCGAAGGTGGCTCCCAGAGCTGGGAGGAAACCCCGCCGGCAGCCAAGCTCCTGCTCCACCACCCCAGGTGCAGAGGGGCTGCCCCAGTCCGGGGACTCCAACTCCCTCTCAGCCAGGGCCAGGCCTGTGGGGTCGGGGCCTTCTCAGGGCCGAAGCCTCACTGCCCGAGTGCGGGGCCTGCCTGCAGCAGCCACGCGGACGGTTCCTTTTTAAACGCAGGAGCCGCCGTCACGTTTTCTCACTGAATGGTCATCGTGGAGAGTGAAAAAGACGGCGCAGCTCCTTCCACGGAGGAGAGACAAGGTCACAGGTAGGGCAGCCAGACCCTCGAGTGTGAAGTGGGGGGCACAGCCCTGCCCTCCCTCAGATGCCCCGAGATAGGCCAGGATGGGAGAAAGGGGCACCTGTCCCAGGCACTGAGTGGCCACTGCCCGGCAAAGGTTCTCTGCTCCCATCAAAGGGAAGTGGAGGCCCCCAGGGTAGGTTCTGTTCAGCCCACATTTATGAGGCACCTGCTGTATGCCTGCTAGTGAGGGGGGGTCCCAGGGGCAGGTTCAGCCCACATTTATGAGGCACCCACTCTATGCTGGGCAGTGGGCACAGAGATGGCTGCCCAGGCTGGCCCCTCCCACGGAGGAGAGACAGGCTCACAGCGGGGAAGCCAGAACCCCAAGTGTGAAGTGGTGGGTACCGGATCGGGGTGGCCCAGACTCCATGGGCTGGGGCTGCACCAGGCACAGAAGGAGCAGTGGCAGCGACTCATGACTTGGGGCGGCTCAGGTCCTGCCCGTGCCAGTCTGCAGGAAAACACCAGGACTTCCGCCTCCCTGCCCTCCCTCCCCCACACCTGCCCACGTGGCCAGGACGTGACTGTCACCATGGGGACTTCCGCAGGGCCTGGTGCTTTCCCAGACAGGTGACTGCCAGTCTGATCTCAGCCTCCCCTAAGCAACATTCCAGGATCCTGCGGAAAGGCCCACCCAGGCCTGGGCCTTCCCTGGTCGGTGCGGGGCTGTGGCCGCGGTCCCTGGCAGCAGGCCAGGATGTGGGGGCTGCCCTGCGGGAGCTGGGGCAGGGCCCAGGGACCCTCCACCTCTGAGTTTGTCCTGGGGCTGAGACTTCCTGGTGGGAGACCTCAGACCTCTGTCTCTTCCTCTGAGCCACAGGGGCTGCAGGTCCAGGCCTTTTGCCTGGACAGGCCACAAGCCACCAGGGGGCAGCAAAATCCAGGCCCTGCCTCCCCCGCCGCAGATGCGGCTTCCCGGAACCTGGGCTCCCTGTGCCATCACCTGCATGCCTAACCCCAGGTGTGCATTTGCGACCACACCCGCTGCAGCCCTTTAAAAATCCGCCTCCTCCTCCCTTCCCTCCCTCTGGGAAAACACAAGGGCTGCCCTCCATGGTCTGGTTGTCAGTGAGGGACACTGGGCTGGACCCAGACACTAGAATAAATTATTTGGGGAATACATGGGGTTTGATGAGGGGCCAGGTGGGTCCGTGGGGGGCGGGGCAGCCATGGTCAGGGTGGATCGCAGTCCAAGGCCAGCCCCCGCTGCTGCAGGGCCTCAGCCCCCACTCTCATGTCCTGTGTCCTTGTCATGGTCCCAGAGTGCAGGAGCCCCCACTTGGTCATCTCTAAAATGGGGTCATGTCGCTCTGCCTCCCGGGGTTATTGGGAGGTGACTGGCGAACACTCCCACAGGTGGCTGACACACAACGGGGCTCACAGGGGCACTGGGCAAACCAGGGCTCCCCCAGATTGCTGTGGGCAGGAAGGAGCTGTCCCGGGCTCAGAGCAGCCCTGAGGGGCTTTCCAGCAGGGGCCAGGGGAGAGGCCAGAGGGGCAGGGCTCCAGCCCGGGGAGCCCCAAGCTCCCTGCCCATGTCCTGAGCAGAGGCCTCTAATCTCAGGGGCTGCAGTCGGCCAAGCCGTGGGCCAGAAACTCAGGAAGAAATTGCAGGGCCAGTGCCTTTATTAAAGCTCCACGGAGGGGCAGCTCCAAGGCCTGCATGCCACAGTTGGCCGCCATTGCTCAAATGACACACCGCATCCCCCCCAGTGCCGCCACAGCCCCATACCCTGGGGCAGTCAGCACAGGACCATGCTCTTCCACTGCGCAGCGTTCACCTACCCCACCACCACTTCAGCCTAAACCGTGGAGTCCTTTCCCAGGCCGAACGGAGCCGGGGTACAGCTGCAGGGCCTGACTGGGGAGGCGCTGCCCAGCCCCTCCCCACACACCTGCCCCTCCCCACCAGGCGCCTCCCCACCTCCCGCTGCCTCCAACCGCCTGCCTAACACCCCCCTTGCCCCAGAGCCCCTCCTCCAACACGTAGACTGGCCGCTCGGTCCATGGGAGGGGCTGCTCAGCCCCCGCCCCGCCCTGGCGCTGGGCACCAAGCAGGAGGGGAAGGGAAACCCCTTCTGGTTCTCTGGGAGATGAGGGGTCTGGCAAAGTGGCCACCAGGGCGTCCACCGGTCCCCTGTAGGCCGGGTTGCTGGACGTTGCTTCTGGGCAGAGGCCGAGGTCTCTCCGGCCCGTCGCTCTTCATTCACCGTGGTCTGAGGCTCCCCAGTACTCGGTGCAGGGGGAACGCCGGAAGGCTTCCCGGAGGCGGCGCGCCAGGCCTTCCCTGAGGTCCATCCGCGGCGCTCTCGGAGGCCTGGGCTGCGGAGTGAGGTGGCTGGTGAGGCCTGCGGGGCGGGAGGCCGGTGGGACGCGCGTCCTGCCCAGCGCAGGCGACAGACACCCCGGCCGCCACCCCCACCAGGCTCGCCAGGGACGTTTCCTGCTCTGTCCCCAGCTGGGGGCTGGGCTGGCACCGCAGGAACTTCTCGGACAGCAGGGAAAGCAGAAAGGTGGCAAGGAGCGCCCACCAGCCCCTGCCCGGCCCGGCACGAGCGCCCTGCGCTACCGCCGCACCGCCACGTTCCTCACTCTGGAGCACCGGCCTCACCCAGCGCGCGGATCGGAGGCCGGCCGGGAGGCGGCGGCGGCGGCGGTGCAGGTGGTGGAGGCGCCTTTATGGGCGCCCGGCGGTGGTACACGCTTTCCCACGCCCAGCAGCCAATTGGCAGCCAGGGCCAGAAGACGCATGGCCCCCGCCCCCTAGCTCCGGGTTGGGCTGGGATAGGGACGCGCCCCCCTCCAACCGGCCTCCAGCAGCGGGGTGTGGGCAGGCGTGGCCGGGGGACACGTGGGGCCTGACCCAGAGGAGGCGCCTGCCCCTAAGTCCCTCCCTCAAACCTGCTCCCTCCCTCAAAGCTGCTCCCTCCCTGTTCCCAGCTTTCCGGCCACCTGACCCGTCCTCCGTCTCACAGTCTTCCCGCCTGGCCAGGAGCAGCCCCAGCCCAGGGGTCTGCCCAGGCCTGGCCCCCTTAGGGGTGAGGACAGAGGCTGCAGAAGCAGCTCCAGCTGTGGAAGCAACAGGGAGACAGAAAGGCCAGGGAAGAGGCTGAGCAGCAGTCACTGCACAGGGAGGCCAGGGCCACTGCTCCAGGAAGCCCCCACCCTCCTCCTGCACTTCCTGATAATCCAGGCCAGCGGCCACCTCCCCCAGGAAGCCCCCTGACTCCTCCTCCCTCCCCTGGGCTGGCTCTCATATTAAAAAGTCATCCTTGGAGGTGCTCTGGGCAGTTAATTCTGGGGAGCAGCCCCCCACCCCAGCTTCTCCAAACCTGCTATTCGTTAACCAGCTGCCCTCGGGGGTCTTTCCATCAGCCTTGGGAGGCGGCAGTGCTGTCCCACACCTCAGATGAGGAGACAGGTCCAGGGAGGAGGCCTTGCCCAGCTCGCTGTCCCACCATGTCCCTCTCCTGCCCCCTGCACTGAGTGACAGGGTGGGCTGCTGAGTGGGCAAGAGGATGGATGCAAAGGGTGTGAGAGCCATGCAGGCCAGACTTGGAAGCAAGGAAGGTGCAGCCCGGGGGACTCACGGCCAGAGTGTGGGGGCGAGCGATGGGTGGTCTGACGGTGGAGGCACGACGTCAGGCACGGCAGTGGGTGCCTGCAGGGTCCTCCTAAGCCATCCTTTACCCAGGCACCCATGATAAATGATGGGCCCAGGAAGGGTGCCAGTCTCAGGCCAAAAGACAGGGGGTGGCAGCTGGCCTGGGTGGTTGCACAAGACTGCCCCTATGCCCCCAGCCCTGCAGACCTCCCGCCCCCATGGCCAGCAGGGAACTGCCTCCCTATCAGGAAAGTCCTGCTGGGGGTGGCCAGGTAGGCTGTGGCTGCCTCTCTGCCAGCCCCGCCTGCCTGAGGCCATGAATGGCCGGGAGCCTTTTGTGGGTGAGCAGCTGGCTGCCGGCCCTTTCTGTGGGGCTGTGGGAAAGTCCTCGGGCCAGCCTCTCACAGCCTCTCAAAGCCCGGATTATCTCTGGGTCTGCAGGACACCCTCTCAAGGACGCCCCCAGCATGGCTGGGGGCAGGGGCGCCTCTGCAGAGGCCCTGTCTGCTGAGCTCTGGCCCCTTGGCCAGGAACGGTCTCCTGAGTGGAAAAGCCCTCGGACACCCGGCTCCATGCCCCCTACCCCATCCGACTGCCCAGACTCAGAAATGCCCACCACGCCAGGCAGGCTGTCCTGGAGCCCTGGTCCGCTGTTGTCCTGGCCTCTGGCCCTCTGGGGGAGGGTGTGCTCAGCAGAAGAGCTTGCTGGGGGCTGCCAGTCCCCCGCCGACCCCAGGCCACGTGGCTGCACCCACAGCTGGGCAGACCCAAGCCAGGTCCAGGGCTGAGATCAGACTTGGAGATGCTCAGGGCTGAGGGCCTCAAGGCAAGTGCTCACTTACTCAGCACCTACTGCATACAGGCCATACCTACTGCATACAGGCCATGCCTACTGCATACAGGCCAGGCAGAAGCTGCTCAGAGTCCTGAGACAGGGGCAGGACCACAGCTGCCCCATCCCCACCGAGCAGGGGTGGGCCCAGCTCTAAGCATAGCTGCCGGCAGCCAGCTGGCCTTTCCCTGACCCCCAGCCAGTTCCCAGGAAGCCTGGGACACGGGCAGGGGTCGCCCACCCAGGAAACCGAATGAAGAAGGTGAGCAGAAGCAGAGCCTGGCAGTGCCTGGGGCGGGGGTCTGCCTGCTGAGGCCACTGCGCATGCCTCATCCACTCTCCGTCCTCAGCACAGGCCTTGGGTGGGACCGTTATCAGCTCCATTGCACAGTGAGGAAACAGCCCCAGAGGGTCCACCTACTGAGGGGCACTCCCTAGATTTGAACCCTGTGCCCACAGCTCTCCCCACTGGGCCGTGTGCACATAGGCTGCATCAGGGGTAGGGCAGGGAGGCAGGCGCCTGCCTTGGTACCCTCCTGGCGCCTAGTGCCATGCCAGGACCAGAGCATGCAGGGGACAGCCAGGAGGCTGTGGGAACTGGAAGGTTCTGAACAGGCCAGATGTGTGCGGTTTCCAGCGCGGTTGCTCAGGGAGCCTCGGCTGCTTCCTGGGCCTCAAAGGCAGCCTGGAGGGGGCCCTGCCGCCCGCTGGGACGACTGCTCCCCAGATGGCCTCTGAGGCCCGAGCTCAGCACACAAAGCCCAGGCAGCCCGTGGCGAATGAGTTTGTTGCCGCGCACGCGCCTTTTGTGAAGGATGAATGTCCGCGGAGGGGGGTGGGGTGTGGGAACCCACCCAGAGCGGGCTCCAGCCCAAATGCCCCTCAGGCAGGGGAGGTAGGCGGATGCCTGGGGCAGCACACAGACTCGGTGCCAGCCCCAAGCCCTGACACAGGCAACAGTGCCAGGCTCCCCTCCCTCCCCCACACCTCACGTAGGAGCCACAGGTGAGGGAGGGCTGAGGGTGGCTGCCACTCTGCTCTGAGGGTGGCTCCAGGGCAGGGGAGCTGCCTGATGGGACTGGAGCCCAGTGGGCTGAGGGCCACTGAGCAGGAGGCTGGACACAGCCCCAGGGGCTCCAGGGGCTGGGTCGGGGGGTTGGGGGGAAGCAGGACCTTCTGGAACCTGCCCTGGGCACCTTCAAGTCCAGAGGGTGGCTGCCCTCCAGAAGCCAGAGTCTCCCCTGGTTGAAGCCAGGATGCATCTCAGTCCGGGGGTGGGGACAAGAGGCTGAAGGTCTCTGCCAGACCTGGGGGTCAACCAGAGGATGAAGCCCAGACTCCCAGAGCCCCTCCCGTCCCTCTTCCCCCACCGTGGGACCAGCAGAACTCTCAGCCCTGTACCCAGCACACAGAGACCACTTAATGAAAAAGGGTGTTTCCTGCCCTGCTGGGCTGGCAGCCTGACCTCTGCCTAAGCTGGCCAGGCCTTCCCCTCCCTTCCCTCCATCTGTGACGGTGGTGCCATGTCCACTGTGCTGCAGCAGGTCCCGGGAGACCCCCATCCGTGGCTGTCGGAGTGCCCCAGGCATGGGTCCTCCCTGCTGGTCACTGCTGAGGGTCCCAACGCTGGGCTGGAAGCCCCTGCCTGAGACAGCTGGCCCACCGTAATGGGGGTGGGGGGGATGGGAGCCCCACTCGGCACCACACCCCAAATAGAGTGCTGATAAAGGCCAGCATCCCCTGTAAGAGTTAGGGTAGGGGTTGGGGGCATGTCAAGGGAAGGGCTGGGATCCAAGGCTCAGAGAGAAATGATCACTGGGGCCTGGGACCTGAGCCCACATCTGTGATCTCCCTGGCCCCCACAGGCGGATGACAGAGGTTCATAGACGGAGGGTCCCCTCACCCTGGCCAGACAGTGCTTACAGAGCTAGGGCACCAGATGGGGAGGTGCTGGCACAGGGGCAGTGCAACAAGGCCAGGGCCACAGGAAGGGCCAAGCATCTGCAGGCCAGTGGGACAAGAGAATGGACTTCCAGATCCAGAGTCCCAGAGCTGCTGGCCCCCACCCAGGGCTTCTTAGGTAACCGACAACCAGCAGCCCCCTCCCACCCCCCACCACCCCGGCGTTGTGGCCCAGACCCCAGCCCCTCACAGGCCCTAATCTGCTTCAGGAGCAAGCAAGCTGCCATCCCACAAAGCCCCCAGCACTGCCCCAGGCTGCTGCTCCCCCTGGACTCTGCTCCCCGCAGAAGGCATATTGACCCCACCCTGTATCTGTTTGGGGAGCCCCAAAGATCAACCAGGCCACCCCCTCAATAACCAGATGGGGAAAAAGGCAAAAAGTCAGCCCAGGACCCCAGCGAGTTATGTGGAGCTGCCAGACTAGCCGGGAGGGGAGCTGGGACGCTTTTCGGTACAAAGTGGATCTTTCCCAGCAGTGGAAGAGCAGATCCGCGTGCATGCTCTGTGGCAGGGACCCGAGGAAGTGCTTGTGGCCAGCGTGAGGGCCAGATAAGCAAAGCAGGTGCCCGACCTGGGTGGGTGAGGCTGCCCACCTGCCCTTGCCCAGGGTTCTCTCCAGACTCTGCCTCCACCTGGCAGCTGGGCCCTCGGTTTCCATGGGCCTCAGTTTGCCTCCCTGTCCAATGGGCATGATGATGAAGCCTCAGGATGGTGCGGCCACACCCGAGTGCACACTCAGTCCCCTCCTGAGGCTGCCACATCAGCCCCAGAAGTGAGAGGAATGGGGCACACCCCCAGGGGTGGTGAGGACAGCGATTGTGGAAGGCTCTGCCTGGCACAGGTAGTCCTTCACTGTGGGTGGGGCCCGTGCTTATGAAGAGAGCCAAGCAGTAATCACTGCAGACCGTGTGGCCAGGCGTCTGTCCTCCCACACCACTGGTGGTGCACCAGGAGGTGGCTCTCCTGGACAGCAGCGGCTGTGGTGCCCGGTTATGTCTCCGTACAATGTTATTTATGGATGCTGAAACTTGAATTTCATCTTTTTCACATGTAGTGAAATATCCTTCTCTATTTATTTGTTTCAGCCAGTGCTGAGACCTGCTGACCTATAATCCCAGCTAGTCAGGAGGCCAAGACAGGAAGATCGCTTGAGCCCTGGAGTTCAAGACCAGCCTGGGCAACACAGGGAGACCCTGTCTCAAAAAACAAAAAAAATTAAAGAACGCTCTTGGGTGGGGGTGGGAGG